GTCCACACTAGAAGGGAGGGAGGGTTATGACGGACAACAGGGGAAGGGGTTGAGCTACAGTGGATGTCCATGATTAGTATACATTTATATATAATTATATATATATTTCTCAATTATATTAATTAATATCATTGTTAAATGCCATTGTAAACAGTAAAGCATCACTTCCGATTATATTTACTTTGTTGTATTGATGAAATCATCCATATTTTCCTTAAATGGAAGTTAAAATGGAAGACGATCCACTCTAAAACTGTTCTGTTACCAGATGAGAACAAGCGATGCGAGTGTTTAGAAAAGAAACTTTTAGACCGAATAAACAAGAACGTTGCTGTTTCCAAGTGATAAAACTCCCCAGTTTCTATGACGTATGGTAGATTGATTTTCAACAAAACGACGATAGTTACAAAAATCACGTTCGATTTTTTCGTCTTACTTGTTCTTTATTTTGCTCTTAACACAGCTTTGGAAACTTTTTTCCACTTCCACATCTCATTTACTTGTCCTTCTAAGAATAAATACTATTGAATCTTTTGAATTTATGTCTAACTAATTTGCAACTATCTCTCGTATCCTCGTGTAAAGTTGGCAGCGAACGATGCTACCCAATGGTTAGAAACGACTACTTTAAATGCACGAGATGATTCATGCTGTAGTTTGCATTTAAAAAAAATATCCACTCTCTGTAGAATGATACTCATAAACATCTGAATGTAATGCTCTCTTTTGTTGTGGTTTCAGTTGAATCCCCGCATTTCTTGGAAGAAAAGTGTATTGCCAACATATAGAAGAATTGTATAAAGAATTATACAGATGGAATTTTTGGTAGGAACTTCTACGATTCCAATCCTGAAATTAAACAGAGCAGCATTTCTCTTTCTTCTCTCCTTCCTCTTCTTTCTCTTCCTCTTCCTTTTCCCCTTTTCCCTTTTTCTTTTCCTCCTCTCCTTCCTCTTCTTCCTCTTTTTCTTTCTCTTCTTCCAAACATAATACGTAATTTTGTGCATCAATGAGTTAACATTAAATACACGCCATTTGCCTAGTGGATAATACCGTAGAACATTCGTTTTTGATCGTGGGTTCAAGCCTCAATAACTTGGGGTTTTCCGGATTTTCTCCGAAAAACACTTAAATAAGTCCCAGTTTTTCGTAGAAACTCCTTCTGTGAGGTACCTTCTTTACATTTTCCGGGTTTCTTCACGTGACTAACACCTAAATAAAGTCTATTTTCCCATAGCCATGAGGTACCCTCTTTGCAGATTTCCCACGTGTTGCTATACCCTAAAACTCATCAAACAGTTGTGCTATTGTTGGATAATGATAAATCCTGTATAAAAATGAAAGATAAAGCTGCAAAATCAAGAGTTTTGTTCGTAATTTAATATTCTTTCTTGCTACAACTATTCCTTGGTGAATTGAATATTTTTCCTTTATAGAACTAATGCTTCGTGAATGCAACATGCTTCCTTGCTAGAGCTACAATTAGGCTGCAATATGAAAAAATTGTAGACCTATGGATATCCACTGTTGTCCATGTTAAATTCAGTTTATTGAATGACAGATTAAACCCCTCAATCGCTTGTTTAATTAATTAAATCGCATTGTTCTTCTTTTTCAATTTGTTTGTAGATTTACTTTGCAATGATTATATACAAAGTTTTTTCTTTATTTTTCCCATTACACCGCTTCCAATTATGTTTCCAGTTCTATGCGATATTGTTAAATTACATCCAGTTACAAATCCTCATTAGCGAGTATGTTATATCGAGGTTTCTTCCAGAGAAAATGATTGAAAAGTATTATAATATGTAATTCTGTTCATGTTGGAAGCTATGTTAAGGATTGATAGGAGAATAATCAATTTGTTTTACTTTAAATTTGAATTAAGGAAAAACTTCAGGTTGTAGAATTTATAATACATTAAAATATATGCTAATTTCAAAACAATAGCTTCTTAATTATCCTCACTAATGGTGAAAATAAAAATATGAATAATTCAAATTCGAAAAAATAGATTATCAATACATTATTTCATGTCAAATTTAATAATTCAATTTTTAAAATATTTTCGTATTTTTTCATATACTATACTTGAAAATCTGACGGTTTCATTCTTTCTCATCCTCTTCCCTTTCTCCCTCCACTTCTACCTCTGCTTTTTCCTCTTCTACCACTTCTTCCTCTTCTATCTCTTCCTCCTCTTCTACCTCTTCCTCCTCTTCTACCTCTACTTCTTCCCCTTCTTCCTCTTCTACCTCTTCTTCCTCTTCTATCTCTTCCTCTTCTTTTCCCTCCTTCTACCTCTTTCCCTTCTACCTCTCCATTCTCTTCTACATCTACCTCTACCTCTTCCACCTCTCCCTTCTCTTCCTCTTCCACCTCTCCCGCCTCTTCCCTTCCTCCTATTTTACTTTTTCCTCTCTCTCCTCTTCTTCCTTTTCTTCTTCACATCTATTCAAGAGTGTGGAGTCGCACACGAATTACTATTCTCTATTGGTTCCTGCTTTGTGCATTTATCCACATTTGAAAGAATCCAGAATATATTATTCTGGAGAACAACGACTTGATGCAGGTAATTCAGGGATTTCCTCTTTACTTCTTCAAGCCATTCTTCCATTTAGCAACACGCTTGACACCACTGAATATTGGTAGGTGGTCGCTGATTTGATCTTCACTAATGGGCTGGTCGGGTGAAGTTTTCACACTTTTCAGAGTCTCTCAGAGGCACCACATCTTGTTAGATAGATTACCCATGTGTTGCGTGCCTTCTATCAATCTGATGTTAAGTGATGGCTTATAGACTTAGTTTCCTGTAAGGTTCCTGTAATTATGCCTATGAATATGAAATTCTTAACTGTGAGGAGCAGAAGACAGCGAGTTGTGGTGCATTTCAATCAGATGAAACATTTCAACATTAAAGATTCTAGGGGAAGAGATTTTGTTAATGTTTACAATGGCTTTGTTAGTTAAATAATTGAAATATAAATAAATAATTAAAAATACACGTTGAATGTCCATCGAATAGTCTGGCCATTCGACAAACTTTCATTCGTGGATCAAAATAGTGGATACTGGTCCCTCGAAACCACGCGGAAGCGGCTACAACTAATAAAAATTGCCGTAAAATACAAAGAATGATTCGAATTAATTGTCACGGATGCTTTTAGATTTCACATGGATCCTTAAGAATATTTTTGGTGTCTTATGAGGCACTAAGATGGCCATTTTTAGTCATAGCCATCGTGGATTCAGCCAGACCCTCTATGGGAAAGCTGAGTATTGAAGGATGGTGATTGACATATCTTGTACACTCCATCCTTTAAGAATTCCTGGGAGTTCTAACTCGGATTCGAACCAGGAACTCCTCGAACAGGTAGACTGATGCATTAACCGCTCCGGTCATCCGGCCATCAAATATTTGAAGACCTAGAATATATTTTTATGAAAATCCCAGGATAGTACAAAGATCTTTGTCTTCTTCAGCATCTTCTTGAAAGGCCAGCAGAGATTTGCTTAGAAGAAAGAAACGTAAATGGTCCCTCTACCAATCAAAAATCCGCTTCCGCGCTCGTCAGTGGAACCAGTACCTTTGGTTTAATTCTTCAGTTGTCGGTGCAATGCGTTGTAGGAGCGATGTCATCTCTCTGGAAACGTAGTACGGGGGATCATGCTCCTACAAGGGATCCTTCCTTCTGCAAATAACACGGTAAACGGGTTACGCGCGGTTCGTGGGGAGGAATCACTTACCTAAAGTGAGTTTTTCCCCAGAATCGGGTGGCAGTGTGAAGCCCAATAACGTCATCGAAGAGATTAGAACGCAGGGGATGATAAGATTGAATCCGTAATACAACGTCCTCCGACGAATATGAATGGTGAATGTGATGTCTACATAAGGCTCCGGACAACATGCGTAGTATATTACATTTCGAATTCCCGGTAACCCTGAAATACAAAGGGGGGTTAGATTGGATCCGGGTTGGAGACTTCAAACTCTTCGAGTGTTTCCATCTTACCGATGAGATCCCATTCGCCATTGATGATGTACGTCGACAGGTCTCCGCCGTCTTCGCTGGCCAGCCTGAGATCTATCTGGTTCCCATCGTAGGTCCATGATCCAAATTTCATTTGGCACATCTGATCATCGAAAGGAAACCAGGTGATGTCGATTTTGCACGTGCTTTTGAAGATTCCCGGAGGTATGTAGGTACAACTTCCGTTGTTACGCACCACGACGTTGGTGGGATACGTACCATCAATCTTCTCATCCGCGCTGGAAAAGTCACGGTTTCAGCACTCGTTCTATGGCCAATTACGGACGGAAAAAAATTTCGGAACTCGTTTGAGATCGGGGATTCGAATCGGGATCTTTAGCACGGGGATGGGAGCCCATTCGTGAGGTCAGTGTTTTCACTTTGCAGGATTTTAGAGTGATCAATTTCTACCGAAATCTAAGGAAATACATTGAAGTACCCCTACTTTTTGGTTGGGTATTAGAGTAACGCGCGTGTACTGAACTGTGTTTGGGGCATGCATTCAGAAGGAAGACTACGTCACAAGGGTTTGGCTCTCCGCTTACGGTTCCTGAATTTCTTTCCGACCATGGAGGAAAGTGCCACCAAAGTAAGAAACTCCCGCATTTAAGATTGAGGCACACGCGGTGGTGGATGCGAATTTTAACGTGACGATCNATAAATATAATTTATCTACTAGGCGACTTTACGGCGCCCGTTCCTTCATTTCCACATTCAATTAAGCATCTCCAAACATACAACGATACTCACATACTGTGGCATATCGTGCGTTTCGGAACTTCTGTGATGATAATTCAATACTACCACCGTCATCACCACAGAAAAGGCTACCATTATCATGATGCAAGCAAAGTAGGTGCCTGGAATACAACAGACGATATTATAAAATTCCGAATGATCATCTCCTTTATTTTTTTTTCTTCTTTAAATTACTTAACTATGTGCACTAAAAATATATATATATATATATATATATATATATAAAACTCAAAAAAGGGAAAGAACACTTAAACGTGCAGTAAAAAAAGAAACAAACGAAAATCATCATCCGTCTGTCGTTCTGTTCGCTTCGATAGAACGTCCGAAAATCGTTACAACAACGAATAAAAGTCCCATTTTTGTATTTTCTGCTTACCCCGCTACACCCCGCTTTATCGCATAACTTGATAACCGAAAACGTGTTGCATCAGCAAGATATAGAATCCACCAAAGAATTTCTTCTGTATCCATTATTGTGTCGATGAATAAAGATTCATTCATTCTTCCTTCCGCATCACTTTTTACAGTTTATAAATGTAATTTTCTTATGAACGAATAACGTGATGAGACGTTTAAGGGATGGAAAAATCACATTGTGTGACGAAATCTCCTTTCTTTCGAGGTGAGAAGAAGCTAACAGAACAACAGACGAATCGTTCGAAAAGAAAAACATAAAAAACAAATAATGGAAGACGTAAATCACGAAATGCACGATGTGTAAAAAGTATGACATAAATTAATAAATGAAAAACAAACTGACTACAATAAAAAACGTATAAATTAATAATAAAAATAAGAAAATAAAAAGGTGTAAACGTATGTAATCGATACCTCTTCCACATTTCTAATTGGAATAGGTAAGCTCGTGTTTTTTTTTTTATTTCTTTAATTAAGTTACGTAACTTAAGGTACTTACCACTCACAAGTAAACAACTAAAATACTAAAAACATTTAAAAAAAAAAACAAAAGACAAATTCTGCACATAGAATATTTATAAGAGTTTTTGGTATTTAAAAAAAATAATAAATAAATAAATAAATAAATAATTGGTTGACGACAGACTATTACAGCGGCAGGACTGCAAATTCACGACATACAAGAAACAATATGTGCAAAGTGTTCGGTGTGAGCATGCATCTAAAAAGGTGCGCAACACACAAAGAAGCGCCTGTGCAATAATACTTCATGCTTTAATAATTATCATTAAATTTATTTGAATTTTTTTTTTATTTTTTTATTTTTTTCATTCCATTCATGCAAATTTTAAAGTGACGTCACTGTTTATGCGGCGAAATATATAGGAAATTTTTTGCACACGGCCGTTCCCGGAAGTGAGTTTCGTCGCCGACAAGTAGGGAGGGGGGTGGATGAAAGCATCCGTCATAGAAGAGTAATGGAATTTTGACAAATGTCTACGTGTTACGTCATCGTCCACTCTGCGTGACGCGTGTCCTTCGTCAAGAAAGTAGGTCGTACGGTATTGTGTACGTTTAAACCAATAGGAAAAGTCGTTTTTTTTTTGTATTTCTTCTGGTGTAGGGTGGTAAATTTTCCGACTAGCGGTTGCAACTCACTAGCGGGAACGACCTGACTGACAGTAAATGTATACACATATATAAATACAGTATACATAAATCCACTATAGATGTCATCTTAAAACCTTAGACGGGTTGCCAATCCAGTTTTAGGGGGAAGGGGGCTTTAAATTTTTCTGTTGTCTTCGTACTCCAGAAAAAAAAAAACAACCAGTGTCTAACACAGGGTAAAACGTTAATTATTTTTGAAATTTGTAAGTTAAGAAAAAAACAAAAACAAAATTGAAATTTTAGAAAGAGAATAATAATAATAGATCTACTCGAGTTAAGCACGGCTCCGTGACCTCCTAATTATCTTTCGAGTTCTCGAGATGATGTCAGAAATTACGAAATGTTNGAGAATAAATAGATTATTATTATTATTATTATTTTTTTTTTTTTAAAACGAGAGGTCAAAGGAGGGGGCCAGCCTGGGCCAAACGTGGGTGAAGTGCAAGAACATAAAACAAGCAACGTGGCGAAAGTAACGTATAAATACTAACAAAAAGGGATAAGTAGGAGGGACGCGTTTAAGCTAGGTGCGTTATATATATATATAGCGAACAGTCGGTGACTCCTGCATAAAAATCGCTCTCTTGGAGAAAAAGTAGCTCAGTCCTGCCTCGAGTCATCATATTTTTTTTTTCTTTTTTTTTTACATTTAAGATTCTAAGTATAAAAGAATACGTGTCGAGAGAGAGATAGAGAGAGAGCGCATCAGTGTAGTTATCTATTATTTATTTTGTTCGCACCTATTATGGCAACTGCATCAGAGGTCACCGGAAGGGTGTCTGTGACCAGCAGATTAAACACAGTCAAGGACAGAAGAATGGTGATCCCTGTGAACGGACAAACCGTGCGATAATTAGGGAGGAGTGCAATATTATAAAGTCTCTCGTTCCTGTCTGTTAAAGAAAAAAACATCTACACCATAGTCTCAACTACTCTGTTCCATCCCATGCACTTTTTTATTTTTTTTTTTTTTCGTTTAAAACATGGATATACTGTGTCTACTGTCCGCACCTATGATGGACACAGCATCTGATGTCGGTGGCATGGTTTCAGCCAACTGCAGCATAAACACCGTCAGAGAGAGCAGGATGGTTACCCCTATGGACGACAAGTACAATCATGTCAGAATGATGAAAAGTTCAGGGACACACTGCCTAGATCTTCCTCTTCCTTCACTTTACCCCCAAACCGCCGATTGGTAGACGGGCGGGACGGAGTGGGGAAGAGGAATTTAGTAACGAATTGTAATACCCGAAAATCCCGTGGGTACTCCACCGTCTATCCGGATCGGTGGATAAATAACTTATCTTATCTCTCCCCCCCCTGCGGCCTCCCAATCTAGGCAATGTTCGTCCCGGCCGCTTTCTTTACTTACCTCGACACCGGTGTAACACGCCACACACGCATCAGAAGTGTGAGCGTAAGCGTGACGTAGTCACGCGTACGCTCTTACGCCGATTGTTTCCTCTACGTGACTTATCCCGTCTACGTGGAAGATAACTCTCGACATTTATAGTCTAACCAGCACTTCCCAGTATCCGGAAAAAGAAAGAATAAAGAATCAGGGGTTCGAGTTCCGCACGTGCTTTTACAGCATCCTTCACTTAATTATTAACTTGTTAACTCGAAGCACGTGACAATATTATAATAGGAAAGTTACTAAACGCGTGTAGGTAAGGAATAAGTAAAAACTAGCATGTGTTAAAATTTGACGTCACTAATACAGTTACCACGAAAAGGTCACGTAGAAAGTGCTGATTATTTATACATTTATATATAATTATATATATATTTCTCAATTATATTAATTAATATCATTGTTAAATGCCATTGTAAACAGTAAAGCATCACTTCCGATTATATTTACTTTGTTGTATTGATGAAATCATCCATATTTTCCTTAAATGGAAGTTAAAATGGAAGACGATCCACTCTAAAACTGTTCTGTTACCAGATGAGAACAAGCGATGCGAGTGTTTAGAAAAGAAACTTTTAGACCGAATAAACAAGAACGTTGCTGTTTCCAAGTGATAAAACTCCCCAGTTTCTATGACGTATGGTAGATTGATTTTCAACAAAACGACGATAGTTACAAAAATCACGTTCGATTTTTTCGTCTTACTTGTTCTTTATTTTGCTCTTAACACAGCTTTGGAAACTTTTTTCCACTTCCACATCTCATTTACTTGTCCTTCTAAGAATAAATACTATTGAATCTTTTGAATTTATGTCTAACTAATTTGCAACTATCTCTCGTATCCTCGTGTAAAGTTGGCAGCGAACGATGCTACCCAATGGTTAGAAACGACTACTTTAAATGCACGAGATGATTCATGCTGTAGTTTGCATTTAAAAAAAATATCCACTCTCTGTAGAATGATACTCATAAACATCTGAATGTAATGCTCTCTTTTGTTGTGGTTTCAGTTGAATCCCCGCATTTCTTGGAAGAAAAGTGTATTGCCAACATATAGAAGAATTGTATAAAGAATTATACAGATGGAATTTTTGGTAGGAACTTCTACGATTCCAATCCTGAAATTAAACAGAGCAGCATTTCTCTTTCTTCTCTCCTTCCTCTTCTTTCTCTTCCTCTTCCTTTTCCCCTTTTCCCTTTTTCTTTTCCTCCTCTCCTTCCTCTTCTTCCTCTTTTTCTTTCTCTTCTTCCAAACATAATACGTAATTTTGTGCATCAATGAGTTAACATTAAATACACGCCATTTGCCTAGTGGATAATACCGTAGAACATTCGTTTTTGATCGTGGGTTCAAGCCTCAATAACTTGGGGTTTTCCGGATTTTCTCCGAAAAACACTTAAATAAGTCCCAGTTTTTCGTAGAAACTCCTTCTGTGAGGTACCTTCTTTACATTTTCCGGGTTTCTTCACGTGACTAACACCTAAATAAAGTCTATTTTCCCATAGCCATGAGGTACCCTCTTTGCAGATTTCCCACGTGTTGCTATACCCTAAAACTCATCAAACAGTTGTGCTATTGTTGGATAATGATAAATCCTGTATAAAAATGAAAGATAAAGCTGCAAAATCAAGAGTTTTGTTCGTAATTTAATATTCTTTCTTGCTACAACTATTCCTTGGTGAATTGAATATTTTTCCTTTATAGAACTAATGCTTCGTGAATGCAACATGCTTCCTTGCTAGAGCTACAATTAGGCTGCAATATGAAAACATTGTAGACCTATGGATATCCACTGTTGTCCATGTTAAATTCAGTTTATTGAATGACAGATTAAACCCCTCAATCGCTTGTTTAATTAATTAAATCGCATTGTTCTTCTTTTTCAATTTGTTTGTAGATTTACTTTGCAATGATTATATACAAAGTTTTTTCTTTATTTTTCCCATTACACCGCTTCCAATTATGTTTCCAGTTCTATGCGATATTGTTAAATTACATCCAGTTACAAATCCTCATTAGCGAGTATGTTATATCGAGGTTTCTTCCAGAGAAAATGATTGAAAAGTATTATAATATGTAATTCTGTTCATGTTGGAAGCTATGTTAAGGATTGATAGGAGAATAATCAATTTGTTTTACTTTAAATTTGAATTAAGGAAAAACTTCAGGTTGTAGAATTTATAATACATTAAAATATATGCTAATTTCAAAACAATAGCTTCTTAATTATCCTCACTAATGGTGAAAATAAAAATATGAATAATTCAAATTCGAAAAAATAGATTATCAATACATTATTTCATGTCAAATTTAATAATTCAATTTTTAAAATATTTTCGTATTTTTTCATATACTATACTTGAAAATCTGACGGTTTCATTCTTTCTCATCCTCTTCCCTTTCTCCCTCCACTTCTACCTCTGCTTTTTCCTCTTCTACCACTTCTTCCTCTTCTATCTCTTCCTCCTCTTCTACCTCTTCTTCCTCTTCTACCTCTACTTCTTCCCCTTCTTCCTCTTCTACCTCTTCTTCCTCTTCTATCTCTTCCTCTTCTTTTCCCTCCTTCTACCTCTTTCCCTTCTACCTCTCCATTCTCTTCTACATCTACCTCTACCTCTTCCACCTCTCCCTTCTCTTCCTCTTCCACCTCTCCCGCCTCTTCCCTTCCTCCTATTTTACTTTTTCCTCTCTCTCCTCTTCTTCCTTTTCTTCTTCACATCTATTCAAGAGTGTGGAGTCGCACACGAATTACTATTCTCTATTGGTTCCTGCTTTGTGCATTTATCCACATTTGAAAGAATCCAGAATATATTATTCTGGAGAACAACGACTTGATGCAGGTAATTCAGGGATTTCCTCTTTACTTCTTCAAGCCATTCTTCCATTTAGCAACACGCTTGACACCACTGAATATTGGTAGGTGGTCGCTGATTTGATCTTCACTAATGGGCTGGTCGGGTGAAGTTTTCACACTTTTCAGAGTCTCTCAGAGGCACCACATCTTGTTAGATAGATTACCCATGTGTTGCGTGCCTTCTATCAATCTGATGTTAAGTGATGGCTTATAGACTTAGTTTCCTGTAAGGTTCCTGTAATTATGCCTATGAATATGAAATTCTTAACTGTGAGGAGCAGAAGACAGCGAGTTGTGGTGCATTTCAATCAGATGAAACATTTCAACATTAAAGATTCTAGGGGAAGAGATTTTGTTAATGTTTACAATGGCTTTGTTAGTTAAATAATTGAAATATAAATAAATAATTAAAAATACACGTTGAATGTCCATCGAATAGTCTGGCCATTCGACAAACTTTCATTCGTGGATCAAAATAGTGGATACTGGTCCCTCGAAACCACGCGGAAGCGGCTACAACTAATAAAAATTGCCGTAAAATACAAAGAATTATTCGAATTAATTGTCACGGATGCTTTTAGATTTCACATGGATCCTTAAGAATATTTTTGGTGTCTTATGAGGCACTAAGATGGCCATTTTTAGTCATAGCCATCGTGGATTCAGCCAGACCCTCTATGGGAAAGCTGAGTATTGAAGGATGGTGATTGACATATCTTGTACACTCCATCCTTTAAGAATTCCTGGGAGTTCTAACTCGGATTCGAACCAGGAACTCCTCGAACAGGTAGACTGATGCATTAACCGCTCCGGTCATCCGGCCATCAAATATTTGAAGACCTAGAATATATTTTTATGAAAATCCCAGGATAGTACAAAGATCTTTGTCTTCTTCAGCATCTTCTTGAAAGGCCAGCAGAGATTTGCTTAGAAGAAAGAAACGTAAATGGTCCCTCTACCAATCAAAAATCCGCTTCCGCGCTCGTCAGTGGAACCAGTACCTTTGGTTTAATTCTTCAGTTGTCGGTGCAATGCGTTGTAGGAGCGATGTCATCTCTCTGGAAACGTAGTACGGGGGATCATGCTCCTACAAGGGATCCTTCCTTCTGCAAATAACACGGTAAACGGGTTACGCGCGGTTCGTGGGGAGGAATCACTTACCTAAAGTGAGTTTTTCCCCAGAATCGGGTGGCAGTGTGAAGCCCAATAACGTCATCGAAGAGATTAGAACGCAGGGGATGATAAGATTGAATCCGTAATACAACGTCCTCCGACGAATATGAATGGTGAATGTGATGTCTACATAAGGCTCCGGACAACATGCGTAGTATATTACATTTCGAATTCCCGGTAACCCTGAAATACAAAGGGGGGTTAGATTGGATCCGGGTTGGAGACTTCAAACTCTTCGAGTGTTTCCATCTTACCGATGAGATCCCATTCGCCATTGATGATGTACGTCGACAGGTCTCCGCCGTCTTCGCTGGCCAGCCTGAGATCTATCTGGTTCCCATCGTAGGTCCATGATCCAAATTTCATTTGGCACATCTGATCATCGAAAGGAAACCAGGTGATGTCGATTTTGCACGTGCTTTTGAAGATTCCCGGAGGTATGTAGGTACAACTTCCGTTGTTACGCACCACGACGTTGGTGGGATACGTACCATCAATCTTCTCATCCGCGCTGGAAAAGTCACGGTTTCAGCACTCGTTCTATGGCCAATTACGGACGGAAAAAAATTTCGGAACTCGTTTGAGATCGGGGATTCGAATCGGGATCTTTAGCACGGGGATGGGAGCCCATTCGTGAGGTCAGTGTTTTCACTTTGCAGGATTTTAGAGTGATCAATTTCTACCGAAATCTAAGGAAATACATTGAAGTACCCCTACTTTTTGGTTGGGTATTAGAGTAACGCGCGTGTACTGAACTGTGTTTGGGGCATGCATTCAGAAGGAAGACTACGTCACAAGGGTTTGGCTCTCCGCTTACGGTTCCTGAATTTCTTTCCGACCATGGAGGAAAGTGCCACCAAAGTAAGAAACTCCCGCATTTAAGATTGAGGCACACGCGGTGGTGGATGCGAATTTTAACGTGACGATCAGCAGACGGCGTTTCGTACTTTGGCAGGGGGGATAGAGAAAAAAATCATTCACCTGTTGTACATCAACACGTCTGGTTTCCAAAGCCGACTGGGAGGAATTCTCAGGTCCTTGACGCCGCCGTACTCCGAGGCATTCCATCGTAGGTTGATATCTACCCATTCCTACGTGCGAGAGCCAGTTAATTCGGGTGTGACGTTTTGCCGTTCCCGCCGACAGGTGGCACCGAGTCGCTTCTCTCGGCCGCCCATCACGTTTGCTCACCAGCCACAGTTGCAACATCCGAACCACGGATGAGGAAAGGGGTAGAAGAGTGCGCGCGCGCGAAAGAGCGGCGGAAGAGAAGCGGCGCGCGCAACTGTCGGCGGGATGCGAGGGATTAAAAATTTTTTCTTTTTTTTTATTTATTATTTTTGACATTCTGGCTTTAAGTTTAGGTATTTTTAAAGAAAATAGCACTTTAAATTTACTTTGATTTTAAAATAGAAAAATATGAAAAATATGCAAAGGGAACGAAGAGAAGCATGCAAAGGAGAGCGAGGAGGATGAGGATGAGGAAGAGGAGGAGGAGTTTAGATAGTGTCGAATCATGCGGATACAACAAAAGAGCAGGGGAGTGCCTGCGGGAAGAGGGGTGAGCGAGAAACACAACTGACATTATAGATGCTTCAACACTGGAGGACGTCTCGAGCTTGATTTTTTTTCTTTTTTTTCTTTTTTTTTAGAAAAGTTTACACGTCACGAATGTTAAAATTCGAATGTTATTCAAGGTTATTTATTTTAGAGTCACACCCGTCGAATTTTTAGTTCCTGTTTTAAGTATATGAAATTTTATTTACGAGACGATTTAAGGTAATATATTTTTTTTCCTTTTTTTTAGACATAATGGTCAGTTTTGTTTTATCAAATAAAATAAATTAAAATATTTAAAACCGGAAGGAAATATTAATTAATTAAATTAATTGGATTTTAATCTTTTAATTTAAAAAATAAAAATTCATGCAGATATTTTAAGCGTTGTAGAGGATAAAAGTTGGAGTTTTTCTTTTAGTTTTGCTTTAGTTTTGTTTTAAATTTGATTATTTTTAGAGGAGATTTTTTTTTCTTTTATTAGAAGTATTTTTTATTAATTTTTTTTAAAAATCATAATATATATACTTTTTAGGTTATTTTTTAAGAGGTTTTTTTAATTGGGGGGTAACATCTTTTATCCTCTAGATTTCACTTTTTAATCAATATTTTAGCTTTAACTTACCAATTTTAACCAGATATTTGTTATTATTTGTTGGTTCTTTTCGTCCTAAAGAGAAAACGAAAGCAAAGAAGAAAAATCATTTCCATTCAGATGAAAAAAAGAGGAGGAGGGAAGGAGGCTGGGAGGGGGACATATCTTGTGCCATAAACAGTTGCGGTACTCACCAGATTTAACCATATATTTGTTATTATTATTTGATTCTTTTCATCCTAAACGGAAGACAAAAAATCACATAACAAACATTTCCCTATTGGTCAGCCGGTATACTACTCATTTTTTTTTTTTTTTTTACATTTACGGCACTTGGCCTTAATTTTAATTCTTAATTTACTTTTAAGAAACCGAGAGGCGGAGGAAAAATTCGTTTTGTTCCCACGTCATTTGACCTCTGACCCGCTTGCCTCTTCTTGCTTGTGAACTAAGAGATGAAGACGTCATCAAACTATAGGCCATCTTCCTTATCAAAATTAATTATGTTTATTTATTTTTAGATTTTGTTCTGTATTTTTATTATATCCTGATACTTTTTTTTATGAGGAAGAAGAAGAAGAAAAGATTTCACATCTCATTATAGACAAGGATGTGTTACGTTTTTGGATGTTGCAAAGGGGCCCAATCACTAGAGAAATTTATCCAAAATTCCTTTTGACGTTTGTCTCTGAAGATAAATAAGAAGATAATAGGAATTTGGGTCAAGGTTCGTGTAGACGTGTTATCATTTAGGGAATGCCGTTTATATCCCTATAAATTTACGTCATAATTGGTCTCAGGACAGCGAACCTTACCGGAAACTCTCGTGTTTATGTCATATATTTTTATCTGTTTTATATACCATACTTCTGGTATATTTTAATATAAGGTGAGAATTTTCTTAAAGATTAAATACAAAATGATATATTTTCTTTCATATATTACACAGAATATATATATTTATATAGTAAATAAGCAAAATACTTACTCCATTTTATTTCATTTTCTACAGATGAGAGATGAGAAAGAGCTACACACTTTATCGTGATCTCTCCCTCTTTGTACTCATAATATAAATTTTATCTAGAAATAAAAATTATTAGCCTACACTATGGCCTAATATTTGTGACGTCTCGAGTTTTAGAATTGATGAAAACTCCAGATAAATTCAATAATTTTTCTTCTGAGGGCGAGAGAAACAGTTTGGATAAGAAGGATGCGGAAGATCAGCATCCGAAAAGTATCTAAGATGCTCTGTTGGTTTCTTAATCGGAATTTAAATGAAACTTCTGGATTTAAGATATTTTAATTCCAGGATTAAGGATGAAGGATTAGCCGAATCCATCTACAAACGTTTGTAAGAAACAGAGAAGAAGAGAAAGTTGACGGATGCAGCATCCATTAAGAAGCACCTCTTTCCATCATTGACGTAGACCGTCAATCTAAACGCTTTTAGTCACAAATAAAACGTGACAGGAAATGTGTTAAAACGTAACTTCCGGTTACATAACCTCCCGAGGCAAATTCCCCATTCGATCGAATTTTTCCTCTGCCCCGGTCCCAATAACGCGTTTACTTTTAGGCACCGACGAGGGAGAGCGAATCGAAATCTGCCCTTTGGGCATCGTACGGTAAAACCTCGTGGAGGAAGAAAAAAGGACTGATGGAAGAAAGATTCTGGGGGGAAGAGAAACCACCGGCTTTCAGCGGAAATCTTCTTTAGAAACTCGCTTCTCATTGGTCCCTCGGGGAATTTCCGTTCGAGTCACACGTCTCTAGCCACGAAAGAATGACGTCAGATGGCCCACGAGGTTTTATTACCGAATCGCGATCTATCATCGTCCGTTCCCTCTATATTTAGCGACGACGGTAAGCGCGTGGGATGACAAGTTCCGGTTTTTCTGCGATTGATACCGATTCATCCCCCATACAATCTTCTAATTAATTAGGTTATAAAATTAGCTCTTTAACACGGAGCGAATTATTTAAACGAAGTGAAAAAGACTCTTTATATTGTCTCGCATCCCTATAGAACTCTAGAGGAATTATTTACTAACGTAGAGGTCCATCACGTGAAGAAATTTCATCTCGGACATCCGCGCTAGGAAAACAGAGGAAAGCGGGGAAAAACGGGGAAAACGAGATGAGTAACGCATTTTAGGGCCATGAAATTAAGAAATTATATCGTTTAATGTGAATTATTCATTAAAATTTTGTATTTTCTTGCGATTGTATCGCTTCCAATTGCTCACAATCAGCAATTTTCAATAGAGAAAAGGAGAAAAAGACGTAGCAATTCTGTCGTCAGCAATTTCTACACCGTCGTTTAATTCTCAAAAATCGATTATAAATAATGGTTCCGTTTATTGAAAATAATAATTATAAAATGAAAATTTATTTCCACATTAAAATGAATACTTTACCTGATTTTATTGAAAGAAATTGAATTGAAATTTTCGTAACTGCTCATTAATTAAATGATGTAACTCGTAACAGAATGACATTTTTTTAAAGTGAAGACATTTTAAGTACCATAAACTTGACAATGACGGTTTTTTATGGGAAGGCCCTACAAAGGGGCATCAGTATTATATTTCGAAAACGTTTCTCTCATCTTACCTCATTTTATGATAGTGTAAAGTGATCAATTCCGCTCATCTTACCCTATATTTCCCCGCATCCCACCATCCTCATTTTTTAAACTCCATCTTATCAATACTATCGATAGGGATGGAGTGAAACTTATTCACTTTATTCACGCGATTTTCTTCCTATTTATAGAATAGAAATAGAGGAAGACGTTTAAAATAGTAAATGACGCTTCTCTCAACCTTTATATACGTTTCTACCCCATTCAATTTCCTCCCTCACCCGTCTTTTACTTCTCCTTCTATCACTTTTATGATGTGGAAAATCAGCCAGTCTCTTTTATTCACCTTCCACATAAAACGTTGCTTAATTTGTTGAAGAGTTTCTTATTTTTCGAATTTGTTTAAGTTTTCTTCCTCTTTTAATCCAATTATTCCACTTTAAACGACAATGTTCAATCCATGGATGCTTCTGGAATAGGAAGAGGCTGATATTTATCAGCTTCTTTCATCCAATTCTCGTTGGCAGAATCTTTCTCTCGTTTAAAATCTTATTAAATTTCGACAAAATTCTATAGATGAATGTAAAAGTTACAATTACGAGATCGCTTATCGAGTTAATAATGCCAAAACACCCGTAGCATCCTCCTCCTATCCTCAATTTTGTATACAATACTTAAATACCTGTCAACACCGATACAATATAGTAGAACGTTTCAACTAAAAAGAAAGCAAATAATTATATTTAAAAATATTCAATATTTACTAAAGAATATCCAGTGATAATTTTAATCATTTGCTTATCGTTAGCCTAGTAAACAGAATTTCGGATGTTGTGCGACAGATGGCTCCGTTCGACCTCACCTTACACTGCATCCGACCTCTCATCACTAATTCTCATTTAAAAGAAATACGGCAACCAATTCGTGGTTTTAAAACGTATACTAAAATTGAATCGCCTTGAGCTGCGGTAACGTCTCGTTCCAAGTATATGAGAGACATGTCATCGAAGATGTGAAGATTTAACTGAAATTAAATCAAACTTGAAAGATTTATTCAGAGCTAAGTTCAAAATATAACATGCCAACCAGTATCCTAGCAGATAACACTACTGAAGTCGTGGGTTTGCGTGCCCATGGGTGCTTGTCTAGCTCCTTAATAAGGGGCCAGTTCCGTATAGAATGTCACTTTTACGATAATTTATAGCATTTTTAACTCGATCCGGAAGGAAATACCCCGTTTCCACCCTACGAATACACAAAATTCTATCATTGAACTCAATCTCGCGGCCATGTTTGTGGTTTCGGCTTAGTTTCTCAACCACGTTTCGTGGTTTTTTCGGTTTAATCTCTTTAGGATGGACCAAAAAACACACGGTAATCTTGATATTTTTTGTAAGACATTTTTGTAAGCGTTTTTTTTCTTTTTTTTTTAAATTAAAAAACATCATTTCAATTTTATTTTACTCATCGATAAGAGACGAAATTCCGCATTGTTTCCCGTTGGCACGCTGCAAGCATTCATTCCTATTCAAAGAGTTTGTCTGTTTACGGACGGATCCAAAATCGATACGAAGCGGGAGTCTAAATCTTAAGGGAGTAAATTTATTGCGCGGTTTGTAAATTCTCCATTTTATTTTCAGTTAAAATACACTCGCCAATGCCTTCTTGTTGGAAAGAAATTTAAATTCTCGAATGATTCCAGGTGGGATGTCTGTTATATTTCTGAATGGCAGCTTCACTAACTTTTGACTTATCAGATTGACTCGCCAATGTTTTCTGTATCCACTGCATGCTCTGGAAATGGAGAAGGAGAAAGAAAATACTACTTTCTGGATCACGTGGCTGTCAAAAGCAATTTGCTTCTCCATCCTTAAGATAAGTTGAAAATCGTTCGAAGGGAAACTTTGATTTCTCGCGTTGAAGGTCTTAACAGAATTATTTTTGATATGATACATAAAATTTAAAAATGCTCTTCTCCACTTTCTAATATTGAAATAATATTTATGGCATTTTAAAATGTTCTACGTTCTTCTTCCTTCCTACATTTCGCTCTTCGTTTACGTCATTTTTTAATGTTTTTTTTTCACAGTTTCTGGCTCCGCACCAAACTAAAAATCTCAATTGTTGATTTGTTTTTATTTTCTACATTGGAAAAAGTGGTGTATTATTTATTGTGACATGGTCACAATTCCCTGCTGCAATCTTCAATCATATTTTTTTACATTTATTTAATGTAAAATATATGCTCTCCATCTCAAATTAGTAATTGCTTGCCCCTGTAAATCATACTTTGTCTGATAACGAGTGAGTCGTGCCGGTCATGCATTTAACCCAAGTGAAGGAAAATTGTTGAATTAAAAAATCACTTAACTTCTATTTAAAATTGAATAAAATTTAGTAATTTATTATCTTAGAGCTAACGATATAATATATATAATACAACAATATGATATTTTTATATAAGAAAATCCTTAAAGGAAGATATGAATAAGAATGTAACAATCTCTTCCAAGATGAATTCGTTTCTTATGCAAATTACATTCAAAACTGTAACGTAATAAATAATTCATGGATATATTCTTGAGACATTATTTAACAAAAGGATCAGAAAAGAGAATCATTATATAACTTGAAACCTCATTCAATTCGAGCTGAAGTAACACATGACATAACATGAATGGCATCGTTTTTGTTCCTCAGAATTTCATGAGATTTCAGCAAATAAATATAAGTTTACACGTTATAAGATAGTAAACGGTGAGGATTTCGTTGGTTGTGTGCTTAAAAACACCGTGTTAGCTTCCTTCAACAATGCCAATTGAAACCTTTTGCAACACGCTTCATGAATGGTTCGATTTATTTGTATACGTGAACAATGCCCTTCCGAGAGGACTTTCTAAGGAAAACTGGCCTCTACTTACAGAGAAAACTCTATGAGGCAACCCGTTGGTCAGACCACAACCAGTGTTCAGAGGTTTTTATTCCCTCAACCACTGGTGGGATTTCTTCATAAATAACTTAAAGCTAAGTGATCGTTAATATATGTTTTTTAACTATAAAAATAAGAAGAAATATGAGGTTTACGTCCGGTATCAACTGGACTAATGAGCAACGAATGGTACTTTTCACGGTCTAGTTTAGTCATGCACGAACCCACTGAATACGTGGGTTCGTGCATGACTAAATCCGAGATTTCCTGATTTTATTCACGTTCTAACACCTAAATAGGATTAGTTTCACCTAAAAATCCTTCAGGAGGCACCCCCTTTTTTGGCAAATCGTCTACGTGCTGCATCACTCAATCTAATCAAAAGTACAGATGAGTTCTTCTAGACATAACTCATCTCGAAAACATCACAGACGTGGCACTCAATCTTTTGTAAATGGCAGTTTTGTTATCTTGCAGACATTAATTTCTTGCTCGATCTCTTCAGAAACTAAAAATCATTAGAATAACTTGAAAATCTTCATAATAGAAAGTAACCATTTCTTGAAAACTCAATGTTTTGCCTATTTACTTGTTAGCTTTCTATATTTTTCTAACTCAGTTTACACTCGTTACCACATAAAAGAAAATGTAACTTGATGATAGTGTTTAACATCTCTCCATATTATTTTAATGGGTAATAAATATTCAAAAAAAAACCTTGATGATGGATGATCGGATGGAAAAAATATTGACAAACTCGACCCATTAAACATATTGATCTCTTTGTAAGATCCAGGCAAAAATCAATGGAGAAATCCACAGAAGATTATGTTAATCAATTGATTTTTAACGTTACAGAATATTTTTTAAATCCCTCAAGAGTTTCTCCTCTTCATCCATTTCGAATTTCAGCAAAGTATAACAGGAAAAAATGCAGAAAATACTTGAAAATTTTTTATTTTTATGCAATTTTATAACCTGCTGAATGAAATTACAAATTATTATTCAAATAATATAAAATTTTAAGTTGAAAAATTAACATATTTTGAAAGATTCTGCCTACGAAAATGGAGTAAAATAAATGATGAAGTAGAAAGAATCGAGTGCAACTTCTGATTAGTTTCTGTGCTTAATTTGGCTCGAAAAATCGGTAAATATATAGAAATAAATATAAAAATTAATTCGAAATTTGAATTTAGGTAGAGTTCACGCACATTTTCCCAAACTTAATGGTCAGAAAAGTGAATAAAACGAAAATATTTTCCGTTTCCTTCGTGTAAATGTCCAACCTTGAAACATCGGATTATCCTCCAAAGAATTCTCAGACCAATAAATTCCTCGTTCATTCTGGCACGTGATAAGAAGGTGGAGAGAACCAGTTGACCTGGATGTCGGTCGTCGAGCGGGTGGCATGTTGTTAATTATCCTTCGATGTTCCCACGGATGTCGGATGTTGCACGCGCTTCGTCTTCTCTTCCGTATCATTTCTGGAATTGTATATCTTAGAATGGATTTAACGGAAGCCAAATGAAAAATATTTTCGTTTCATTTTCTTCGCGAATTTTCTACCAGATAATGAAGAGAAAAATCGATGGTTTCTTTCATAAGAGGTAGAAATTAACACAGAAATTAAAGACGGGTGATGGCGGAAAAGAATTAGATCATTCTCTACAATAACCTTTGAGTTTTCGTGAAATCTCGGAGGATCTGCCAAATGATTCTTCTCTTCCTCTTCCGCTTTGTTTCTCAAGTTCTTCGTCCGAGAATCCGGTATTGACGTCTCTAAGAAATTCACGAGATTAACAAAAGACGGAGTATTTTAAAGAAGAGGAAGAGAATCGAGAATCATTTTCGCATCTTTCTCCACGCAATCGGCGCGACCCACATAGTTTCTATTAGTCGGACGAACGAATGGACGGAAAGGGTACTTACCACATCAATTATTTGCTGAAGCGTTAAGCCGAAGCTGAGTAGTAGAGGCTCGGACTCGTTGGCTACGGGTCTTTCCAGCACGTTGTAATCGTTCAGCAGTTTGTTGAGCAGTCTTTTCTCGTGCGGACCTTGCTTGGACTCTGAAAAAACACCCAGACATTCAGTACATCTCACTTAACACTCCCCTTTCCATCGCGAATCATGCTCTTCACAACTCTCTCTCCATCACTAATTCCTCCTGGATTATAAATATTTAAAAGTGGAAACTGGATCCTCTCGAAAGATTATCCGTAAACACCCTGGATTAGTCTAATATTCAAACTGTTTTGTACCAGTCTGTACCAGTGGAATGTACCTTAAACTAAGTAGAGAATGGAGGAATCTGAAACCGCATGATGATGCCGATGCGATTTTAAATAACGACATACAATGAAGGAATGATGCTGAGGAGGGAGTAGTAATGTTAGAGTGAAACGTGAGGGAGTATCGAGATTTGAACATTTTCAAAATATATTTTAAATATAAAAATCCATATCTGAATGCGGTACATCAAAATCACATTTATTTATAACGAAAAAAAAAGAAAGATTTCCCGTCGCTAAAGCTTCGATTTTATATTAAAAAAATTATATAAATATAGAGTTAGTCTCCTTTTTTTTAAGGTCGGACATTATGTAAAAATGAAAACGTGTTTTCGTTGCGTGCAAAGATCCATCGTTTTCCAACAGAAGAACGGATTTTTCTTATAGATTTTTTACAAATATTATAGTTAAATATTCAAAAGATGAAGATGCTGTTGGGTTAATGAGATTCTCTGAAAGATTTACAAACGTGAAAGTCAATACAATACTCTTAAGTTTGAACTGTTGGATTTCCTTTTGTGATTTCGGAAATATCCCCGAACACGTGATAAAAAATTCTGTAAACTCGAAGAAAAACAGAAAGGATCGCGTGTTGTGGCGTCTCTACGACGCCATATCACGTCATTCAAACAACATTTACACACCAAGACGGAGCCGAATAAGTAAGAAATCCACTGGGTTGAGCTTTCTTAGCTTAGATTTATAGCTTCTTTTCCATGGGGTGGTGCAGCCTGATTATCTTCCTGATGCCAAGTTTTTCTAGAAGCATCAGGAAAATAATCAAAATTAATTTTAAAAGTGAATTATAAGAGAATTATTCTTATAGAATGTCTCGTTTTTTTAGTAGAGTGGAAGATTCGTAAGAGATGATGTGGGAGAAGCTTGTGGAAAATGAAGAGCAAGAGGAACTGATACTTAAATTAGTGATGCTGTTACGAGTTTTAAATACGATAAATCTAAAGGAGACTGAATGCTGCGGAGATACGTAAATACTAAAATTTAGGATCCGTTTAAATCGCTCTCCGCATCACGAGAAGATAATGCGAACCAGATTGCTCCGGTCCGCATCATGCGGATGCGAAGCAATTTGCTGGGTGGAAAGAGAGATGTCGAAAACAGGAACATCCTACCCGGATGTTACCGAGCTCCGACTGATTAGAGGTGGTCCCAAAGCGGTACCCTTGTCGATTCTTGATGAGAATGGGCAGGGATATCTGACGAACGGAGAGGAGAAAGCTAAGGAGAGAGGTAAACGATCGATAGCAAGGTGGGGGACGTCGATAATTATATTATGAAACAGGATGCTGTTTGGGTTTTCCTTTTATACAACAGAAAATTCTGTAACAAATTTTCTGTAGTGTGAAAGAAGATTAAGGAGAATTCCTTGTTGCAAATAGGGCATTCCATGTTACATTCTAGCGCTTGAGTATCGACGAATTAATCCTGATCCTCGAGAAACTTCTCTCGAAAGTGAACCTGGAGATCCTATTTTAATTTCCGGACAGACGGAAGAAAATTTCGGTAAATTCGATCAAGTCAGCGATGGTGGTTCCGGTCGAAAGTCACGAGGAAAGCCATTCTCCATCCCGCTAAATTGTCTGTCCGGCGAAAGTTTTTGCACTCGAGAACACGTCGAGATGAGGAAGAAAACAAGAATGTCTCGTCTCTCCTACCGCCATTTTCCCAGCGCGGTTGCCCCGACAACAGAGCTCGCGCGCCAAAAGGATGGTCGGGATACGAGGTCGACAAATCGGGTCAATATTAATGCAGTCGTTGTTTATATGAAACGACAACGGTAGGCGCCGCATCTCCAGAGACGTCGGAGGCGAAAAAAAAAAACACGTGACAAATTGTTTTTCGGACCGCTCTCCTTTTTGCAGTTGCCATTGCGCGGTTGGAATTCGTCACCCTCCATCTCTGGAATGGATATTTTGGCTGGCGCATCTCCCACCTTCTAGTGTAAAACGATAAAGAAAGCGGGATACATCTAACTGGGTTCTTCTGTGTAAGAAGCTGGAGAGGAGGAGGGAAAGAGAGAATATGGTCGATATTTCTTCTGACGTGGCCCGGTCCACTTGTTGACTCTAGATGGCTTCTCGTTCCCTCCCCCTTCGATCCGAGAAGTCGCTCCAACCGGAGGAGGGATGCTGGATCAACGTAATCCGTTAGCGCGCGACGTCCTCGCAACCGCGAGCTGTCGTGAGACTCGCGTAAGCTAACGAGGGGAGCTTTTTTCTAACCAGGCGGCGCCATCTTGCTTTTCGTTTATCGATCGGGACGGCTCCAGTTGCTAGTTGTCACCGCCATCGATCACCGGACCGAGTCGAGTCGCTAGCTCTCGCTCCGTCCGGAAGGATAAGCGCCGGAAAGTTGGCGTTAATCCCCTGAAAACGGGGAGGGAAGTGGTGAGGCCGACTCCTCCTCCTCACTTTTCTCTGGTGGATTCCTCCCCCCCCGTCCGGACAACAGTTACCTGTACAAATCGCAGTCACAATTCATACAGAAGAAGTTCCACCAACTGCCGTTTGGTGGCGTTTTTTTTACGCTACGGAAGGAGTCATTAACTTCTAGCGCCAATGCGGAACGTCGTATAACCCGCACGTCATTTTTTTTCGATCCGGGATCGCTTTCCTCCCTCCCTCCCTCCTCCCCCTACCGGATAATCACGCGTGGCTTATGACGTAAGATTAGCGCTGACGTGAAGAAGGAGGGGGGTGGTTATTCTTTACGCGGCAGTACGTGATCCGGCGGAAGAGGAGAGTGAAGAATGGGAGGACGTGTACGTCACCGTTGGCTAAATGATTGCGCCGGGGATGGAAGGCGTCGAGCACGCTTCGCTTATCCAATTAGGATGGCGGAAACTCGATTGCGCAAATTGAAAGCCGACACTTTGACGGACGGCCGCATCCTCTCGTTCTCTCCGAAAAAAAAGTATTGTCTCTGCGGCTGGTAACACGTCGGAAGGACAAGAACGGCCGTCACGTGCGACTACCCCTCCGAGTTTGATCCATAGTCACGCGAAATCCGGCAGTGTTGCCAGGAAAACAATTTAATAAAATGTTTACGGACGACGGAAGCGCCCACTAACACCGCGCGGCGGAAATGTCTTTAATTTCGCGCTCCGTTTCACAATTTTTCTCACGTTCCTCCTCCTCCTCCTCGGTAGTGGGAATTAAGAAGACGCCAGCGGGGATTATCTCCCCTTTTGGAGGAATACTATTGTCTTCTGTGGCCAAATAAAAGGCTCAGACGAATATATATATACGAGCGCTTGTTTCCTCTGTGTAATGCGCTCGATCTCTCTCGTGTTTTAATTGTCTGACGTAGAATTCGTAAGAATACACTAGAGGAAATTACGTTAACATAGAAAGCAGGGAGATATTGGTTAAATAAATTACGTACTCGTTTACAATAAGAACCATATAATCATCACTCCTGTAATGTATGCGTGAAGTAGGAGATGTTAGATGTAGCAAATAATCGAGAAGAGTAAATTGGCCAAACACTAGATTTATAACTAACTTACCCAACCGGGTGTTTAACATGTTGTAGCGTGATGAACAGCTGCGTGCCGGCGATGACGAAAACGTAATTTTCTCCTTCACCTGTGCCTAACGGGTACTATATTTCCACAAAAGGATTCCTCTCGGGCATTAAGCGGGCCTCCTATTTTACTGCTTAAACGTGCATACGTCAAATTCTACTAATGTGAATCGGCAATTGTTTGAGCAGTGGATCCCTATCCTAATGCCAAAAAATCTTCAATTGCCTGTAGAAAATCACTTTTACTATATTTTGTGGGGATATTTACACGATCCGGAGAGAAATGCATCGTTTGTCCCTCTCTGAAGGGGCCCCAAAACAATCTTTTTTAAGAAAATCCCCACACGAACTTGAGGCCTCTTAATTCAAATCGGCTTGGGCCTAGCGAAGTCATAAAGCGCTAGTGGTAGGAAACGTGTCGTGGGGACAAATTACAGAGATATTTACGGAATTTCTATATAATTTGGCACTTTTTTACGTTTCTCTCGACAATAAAAATATGAAATGAAGAGTTAAAGAAGGCTAGGAAAAAAGGAATTTCTGTTTAGAAAATCCGAATCTCCTATCCATCGATTGGTGGTGAGAAAAGTAATGGAAGTAGACAGAAAAACACAAAGAAACTGTGCAGTATCGTTTAGAGAAATAGCATAAGTTGCCTGTTCAGTGTTTTCTAGTAAAGTAAAAGAATTACGGCTTCAGTTTCCTGTCTATTTATATCACAGAATGTATACATCATCCTCCGCATCTGCAGCCCGATCGACATTCTATTCCAGTGGACATCTCGAGTAAATTACGATTTAGAAAAGAGAAAACCATCGTTATTCTACCGATTAATGCTTTACTGATGAAATCTTCCACTCCAGGTACTCTTGGCTCTCTTTCTCTCTCTCTCTCTCTCTCTCTCTCTCTTTCTCTCAAGATTTTCGTATTGAAATTAAGGAGCCGTGTCGAGTCATCTCATCTTGACATCGATACTACATTTACTGAATGTTTTTTAACAAACCTAACTGGAATTTTAGTTAAGCCATCGACTTTAGTGAAAGAAAAACCGCAATTATCTATTAAAAAAATTGAAATATAATCGAATAAAATTACTTCTACATCAATTACTACTGATGATAAGCACCAGAGGATGCTGGAGATGAAATTTTCATCTCCATTCTCTAGCATCCGGCTCTTCCGCATCCTTTGGAAATTATGGTAAAATACGTGTGTTATGGATCTTAAATGCTATC